CTTAGTTCAATTATTTGAACAGACACCATGGCATTAGAAATATGAAAATGAATAAAACTCTCTCCACTGACAGGAACAAATACTTAAAATACAGTGTGGAATGTACCATCTGGAGATGAGTGTGGATGGATAGTCAGAAAACGCTTCATAAAGGAATGATATCCAAGAAGGATTCTGAAGAATGATTAAAAGTTTACCAAGACAGGGCGGTGCCTGTGGCTCAAAGGAGGTAGGGAGCCAGCCCAGCCCCGGCCAAAAACTGCAAAAAAAAAAAAAAAAAAGGTTTCCCAAGACAAAGAAAGTAGGTAAAGGCATTATAAGCAGAAGAAAAGCATAAGTAAAGAGATCAGTCAGTACAGGAAAGAAGGCAAAATGGCATGAACATACATACTGGAGAAATAAAAGGTAACTCAGTCTTATACCTGAACCACAAATTGTGAGGGGTGATGCATGGATTAAGTCAGAGTGGGAGAGACCAGACTGTGAAAAAAAATTACAGAAATAACATGCTAAATGTTTAGGCTGTAATCACATAGGTGACAAAATTTTACATTTTTTAAAATGTTCATCTTGCTATATTTTGTAAGTATGTTTATGTATACTAACTTTACCCATGAATCAATTTTACCATACTGTCTACAGAATACAACACTATTAAAATTACAACTATGTAAGATTATGTAGGTATCTGAATATGAAATAAAAAGAAACAAAAAAAATAAGTTGGTGGATTAGGAAGTAGAACTGTAGGTAATTATCATCCAAGTCTTTAGTTTTGAATAATTATCACGTCTATCTGTAAAATATTTTAAAAATACAAAGTGCTATGGCCATAAGGTTGGTATAAAGTAACCAAATCCAGGAGCCATACAAGAAAAATTGGCAACTTGTCTCACTTTATATTTTAACAATCACGTTTAGCAAATATTATTTTTATGAAATTTCCTAATTCTTCTAATCTTATGTCATCATTACATTAACCTTTCTACTCATCAAGAGTGGAAGCAGAAACTGTCCATCTGCAAGCATTCAACTGAGCTGTCATCCAGGGGCATTTTGCTAAGTGTAGTCACAAATTTAAAATCTACCCTTAAAAAAAAAAATAAAAGGGCAGAGCCTGTGGCTCCATATACCAGAGGTGGCAAAAACTGCAAAAAAACCAACCAAACAAACAAAAAGATAAAAAGTGAATTCATAACATTTACCCTATGGAAACCTAGACTTTTCTTATCATACATGATCTGATTATTTACTTTTGCCAATTCATTCATCATTTTATTCCAGTACGGGTATTTTTACTTATACCAAAGTCATCCTTTTAAGATGCTTTTTGTCTTTTAGAATGAAACTCAGATGTTCAAATAGAATTTATTCAACACCTCCAGAAGGAAATAATGTTTTCTGTTTGCTTGTAACATTAGGAAATCTACCTGAATATCATTAACCTACAACTTTACAATCAATTTTTCATCTACCAGTTTCAAAATGTAGATTTTAAATCTGACCATTCACATGTGGAATATGTGCTATGTCTCTAAGTTTCAAAGTGTAAAATTAATCAGAAATATAGTAGAAAAGGATGCTTTGATTTTTGCCTCTGAAAAAAACTACAAAAAATAGCCATAATTTTTTTTGGTGGGGGGAGGGCCGGAGCTGGGCTTGAACCCACCACCTTTGGCATATGGAGCCAGCACCCTACCCTTTTGAGCCACAGGTGCCACCCGGCCTTATAATGTTTTATCAGACCAAGAAAAGACAATGGAAAATTCTAAATAAACTTAATGTTGACATAGAAATAATTACAAGTGTTTCTTTGCAAAAGGAAGTAAATTCTTCATTTCTAAAAATTCACAGATACTGTTTAAAAATATTTCCCTTCATCAAAAGCAATTAAATGTATTACTTGACAGCAAATAAACTTTTTTTGCATATTAATTCCAAAAAGCACTGTGGAACTGAATCATCATTTTAAAGAACTGATCTGATTTTTTCTTTTTGCAGTTTTTGGCTGGGGCTGGGTTTGAACCTGCCACGTCCAGCATATGGGGCCGGTGCCCTACTCCTTTGAGCCACAGGTGCCGCCCTCAGTCTGATTTTTTTCATAGATTAAATTAGCAAGCAAAAATCAATACCTTCACAAATGCATCGTATTAATAGGACTAAACAAATCAGGTTTAAAATTAATTCCGATATTTTACCAAATTCAAATTACATTCTAACGCAGAATGTAGGTAAGCCTTCCATGACATAAATGATGAAGCTGAGCTCCTGAGATGGGGTAACTCAAATTTCTACAGTCCTAATGTAAATTCAATCACAGTATGCGGACTATCAATTTCCTATTAAGTAAATTTATTACAGCAGCAAATACGCTATCAGTGTGTTTTACCATTTTAAGGTTTTTAGAGAGATACACATTTTACAGCAAAACAATTTTTTCCAATGAAAAAAGAAACATTTTGAAAATGAACAGAACATCAAACTTAAAACTATGTATTCAAAAGCCATATCTAAAAAATCAACATAAGAAATAGATATAAATAAACAGAATGTATTTATAAATTTGTTAGTGAAATAAGACTGGTTAAAATACATCTCTTCTGTGAACAGATGACAAATTTTCAAACCAATGATAAATTTTATTCTGAGCCAAATTAAAAAAGTCACCGTCAGCAGAAAATCTGCTGAGGAATAGCTAAGTATGGCATTAATTGGAATGAAGATAACATATTCTGTTATTTCAAACAGATGTCAGAAAGATTTAAAAAAAAAAAACCACTAACGCACAGTTCTACCTCAAGACACATATTAAATGCATTTCTACCTATGCCAGCTGAGAGGAAAAAAAACTATCTATCAAAACATATTTTCAGTTTATTTTTATTCTGATTATAAGAAAATTGCAAAAGATTTGAAAAAGTGTAAAGAAGAAATTACCCACAATTCTATCGCCAAAAGACAATAATTGTCAACATTTTATTATTTCTTTTCAGTCTTTTTCCTAAGACTCCTTATGTTGTAAAAACTCTGCCTTGTACCTTAATATTACAACATGTGGTCATCACCATTATTAAAAATTCTAAAGGTGTTTTAAAGCACCACTTCTCATTTTGAAATTCTACTTCTTTTCAGGTTATATGAGAGAATTACCTGGAAACCCTGAAACACATCTGTTAGGCAGGTAAAAATAATTTAAAAGGAATTCTACCATAAGCTTCATTAGGGTCCTTTGGGTAAAACATACAATTTTTAAAAACTCAGGGAATTCAAATCTCACATAATTTTTGAGTTTTTGGATGATATATTCCAAATTAGCTCTTAACCGACCTTAATAAGCTATTAGTTACCTTGTATGCTATATTATGCTTTTCCTTTGCATACTATCATTTTGTTTACATTAAAGTATAAGATAGGTATGCATTCTCCTATAAGCAATGTAGGAAACTGAGGTACACAGATTAAATATTAAACAATTTAACAAAAATTACCCAATTTAGAAGACAACTAGAAAGCAAGTTTTTTAATTACCAGCATCATTTGTATTTGTGTCACTCTACATTGATGTTTATGACACCACTGTGAAAAACATATATATACACACATACTTTGATAATAAAGGATATTAAACCTTAAAAAATTAAGTAATGTTGCCTGTCTGATTAGACTAGCTTTGAGAAATTCTAAAAACAAGGCAATCATCTCCTTTGGGAGATGTAACTGATTTCTACAGAGTTACAAGATTTTTTTAAAACATGAGATAAGCACTTTTAGGTCTAGAAATAAGTAAAAACAGAATATTCATTTAGTCATATTCCTTTCCAAGCAAGGTACTTTATATTATTTGTGTCTCGGTTTCCTAATGTTTGGAATAGGATAATAATACTTAACTCAGCTGGTTGTGGTGGGGATTAAATGAATTAATATACATGAATATACTTAAGTTTTGTGTCTGCCACAAAGTAAGGCTAGTATCTACCAAGAGGGAAATACATCATTGGCTCTGAAACTTCAATGGAAGGACTTCATACCCTATTAAGTGTGATATTCAATAATTCATTTAAGAAAATGATCTAACTAAAATCTAAGGGCTAATCATCTAAATTCTGAGTTACTCTGTATTGAGATGTGCCTCGATTTAAAGAGGTCAGTTTACCAAACGCATTTTTTCCTTAGATTACATTTCCACATGCCTGTCAAAGTTTGAGAATCTTAATGACAGGCTTATGACCATAACTGCATACTTGACTGAAAATCGTATGACAGCAACAGTAAATTGGACTTAAAGGGAGAGATCAATTAAGGGAAAAAACTCTTTCCAGCAATAAGTAACAATCCAATTCTTATCCTTCTCGCTGCAATCAAATGGGAAATGCAATGGAAAATGTGTTCAATAACTGATGCCAAACTTATTCAAAAATTGTGACACATTGCCGGAAAATAATGCTGAAAGGGGGAAAAATCAGCTCTGTATTCTCTTTCCATTATGATGATTATTCAATAAACAGTTTTGCTGGCTTCTGGGATAGGTTTCTCAAGGATTTTACACGGAAAAAAGTTTTGTCACTTTCTGGAAAGGTTTACCCTTTTAAAGCAGAACTGTTCTTCTGGGCAACATAGCATATTGCCACTATCCTCATATGAATAACACATTCTGAACCCAAGACTCAGCAGACAACCAGAATCTATTCCATTCGCTTTCACAAAGGATGATAATTTTCTTGCCTTTAACAGGTTTAAGATGTTATCAAATGTCTTTCTATTCCTATAGCGTCCATCCACCCATGTAGCTTAACTTTAGGGGTCACATCTCCAAAGGTTCTCTTTTTTCCTTCCAAAAATTTTCCCCAGAAGGATCTAACAGCAATGAGGCTCTCTCATACCAGGGACCGATGTTCCTCTTTTCAGAGAAATGGATGTTCTTGCCAAAAAGTAAAGCCGCGCCAACTCGGGGGACAGACAAGCACAGCCCATCTCTGCCACTCAATCCTGCGAGCGCCCACCCAGGTCCGGCAGTGCACGAAAGCGCACCGCACTGCCCCTGCGGGTCTACAGATTCGGTCCACCGCCGAGACCCAACGCCCCGTGGGAAGCTCCCCTAGCCGCTCACTCCCTGTAGCAGACCACTCACCTTGCTGGGCTCCCGCGTTCTCGAGCAGCAGCAGCAGGACAAGTAAGAGCAGGAGGAACAGAGGCATGGAGGAGGAGTTGGAGCAGGGAGGCGGGGAGCAGGAGCGGGAGAGGGGGAGCGCAGCCCGGGCGGGGGCGGCAGCCGCGGCCCGGACTTGTGGACACTGCGGGCTGCGCCTGTCTCTCACCACCGCCCCGCTCGCCATCGCGGCGGCCGGCAGTCCGCCTGCATAGTGCGGGCGCCCCGGGGCCGCGGGAGCCCGCGAAGCGGCGGCGGCGGCTGCGACGGGAGAGGGAGAGGCAGCGCGCGCCTAGCCCCGCGCCGGGACCCCTCCGCCCCTCACCCCGCTTTTGCCTCCTCCTCTTTCGTCCCTTCCCTCCGCTCCCCGCCCCGAGACCCCAGGCCAGAGAGCAGGGGAGGGGAGGGAAGGAATCGGGGTGCTCTAGCGCAAAGAGCGTCCACAGCAGAGCTGGGAGACCCGCCTCCTGAGCCGCGCTCCTCACCCGGAGCCCCGCTAGCCGCGCTCGCCCGCGGCTCTGGCTAGCTGGCAAGGGAGCTCACCGCCCGCTCCCTCCTTCTCCCTCTCGCGCGTTCTGGCCACGCCCCCTGGCCCGCCACGGCCAATTCTTGGTCAGCTTCTGTCCTTCGCCTTCCGCGTCACCCAATCAGCATGCTCACTTGTCGGCCGCCCCTCCAGCTCTCCCGCCCACTCCCTGAGCTCTCCCGCCCCTTATCTCCCTCCTCCAATTCCCTTCTGCCTTTGGAAGCGTCCCACCCACCTCCCCCAATCCGGGTCCCGCCCCCAAGCTCCAGCCCCCAGCGCCCCGGCACGGCCCGCGCGCCTGTTATTGTTGGGACCGAAGCCTAAACCCATCCTGCTAGGGCTGCAGCTAGCTCTGGTCAATGACTTCCGGGACTTCCCCCAGCCGTGTTCTCCTAGCTCCTCAGGCCTGACTTGCTCATTGCTCCTCCCCCGCGGCACATCAGGCCACTGGAAGGGGTGGGAAACCTGGTTCCTGGATGGTTTGAACTAAGAACTGGGAGCTGAGTCTAGAGCTTCTTTTTTTTTAAGATGGAGTTTTTTGTTTTTTTTGTTTTGTTTTTTTTTTTTAATTAAAACTACACCAATGTTGTGGCAACTCTGAGTTACAATAAAAAGATGAAATGTGAGCTGATCCCACCACTGCACTCCAGTGTGGGCCAACAGAGTGAGACCATGTCTCAATTTATATATTTTATATTTCCAGTGTTCTATACTATATACTATTTATTTTACATGAAATAAAGTGTAAAACAAGTCAGTGCCTGCAAGACAATTTAAACCTAACATCCTAACATGCATTGGGCCTTTCTACAAAGCATAGAACACCTGCTATCTGCTAATATCAAGCACAGAGTCTTAGGACCTGCAGCCATCCCACAGAAATCTTGCAGGAATAGTGTGGAACACAGATGGAAATATAACATGAAGTCAGAAATGCGTGCTAATGAGAGTCACAAACAATTTGAAGGGGACTGTAAGCTAATAGAGTGACAAAAGCGAGTTTTGAGAAAGGGGAACCCAAAGGACTACACAATGACTTATTTTAGAAGAAAATTGCCCAAGGGACGTTTTTAAAGGCTGTCCCCAAAGGATGATAATGTCATTAACAAATAGAAGAAACTGAAAGCGTTCACAAATTATGTGGGAAATTAAGTTAATTTTGGACATGTTGAATTTGAAATACTAACTCAGCTAATAAGTACCAGATAGATGAGTATTTTGATCTAAAATTCTGATTGAGGAGTGTTTTGAAATTATGGGTCTGGGAAGCATAAATAGATGAGATTCTCAAAAACATAGAAGGAGCTAGTATCCTCAAATGAAAATCTGAGAGGTGAAGGTCATTTTTTTCAACCTTCCTTGTGTACTTCTCATGTAATAAGTCCTTCTACTAAATATATTCAAATTTATTAAATGCCTAAGAAACACAACTGTGTTCTAAGCCTAATGCAGGCATTGCATTTACAAAATTTAATGTTCAGCTTACATTATGGTGGAGGAGGCGAATATGTAATCAAATCCATTGTTATTGGTGGTATGTTGGAGATATGAACTGGTGTCACAATACCACAGTAGGAGTTTAAAAAAAAAAAAAAAACACAACACTGTTTGAAACTCCAGCTATTTAGAATTAAAAAGAGAAAAAGTGAAAAGGTGATCTCAGGTCAGAGTCAAAATAGGCTGGGTCACAGACATGGTAATGAATGATGTTCGTGGAGCTGAATGAAGTCAACTACAGTAGACTTACTAAGTGGAACTGGAGACTCCTCTGGAAAATTTAGCGGGGCAAGGTCTAAGACAGGCCAAGAATCAGGATTTTGTAACATCGAGAAATAACTAAAAGGTTCTAAGAAAGAGTGACATTATCAGGATTTTATTATTGAAAACTCAGGCAGGAGAAATGCACTGGAGTAAGAATAAGACTGAAATTCAGGGAGAGCCAGTCTGGATTTAAAGGGAGTGACAATGAGTCTAAATTGCATTGGCAGTGGACTTGGAAGGCCAGGACTGACTGGAAAAATCTTTGTGGACCTAGTGACTGATTAGATTTGGGGAATTAGAACGGGTTGAGGAAGAACCTCAGGTTTTTAGGTAGAAGGTAGATGTTGGGGGGCCTAATATAGCCTTTCTCCTCTTCCTCTTCCTCCTCTTACCTAAGACAAAAACACAAAGGATCTGGCTAGCCCATCCCTAAGAAATTAGTGCCAGAAGACCCTAACCTAACAGGCAAACTGTGGGATTTGCCCATCCCCAAACCCCATATAAAGGTGGTCTCTAATACCCCAGGGGGCAGACACTATCTTTGCGCTGCCCAAATAGTTCATCTACCCTTTCAATAAACCTGGCCTGAACATCTCCACTGTGGCCTCCTCTCTGGGCACAGTAGTTTAAACCTTTCAGTAGTCTTTCATATAGGAAGGAATATAAGAAGAACTAGTTTGATAAGGAAGTAGAAGAGAAAAATCATAAATTCAATATTGAACATATCAACCACGATGTGATAAAGTGCCAAGCAGTCAGTTGTGAAATAAGATTTCCAGGAGTGGACGGTTGCTGAGACAATCCCCCTCATTTGTTGATTTCTCCTTTCACAGGGACATTGAGATATAACTTTGATGTAACATGGATGGTAACAGAGCCAGATATTATGAATCTGAGTCTGGCATTCTTTTGATGACAGAGAACTGCACCAGAAGCAGAGAATTCACCTGGGAAGTAGCACAATTGTGGAAGCCTTTCTGAGCAAGGCCAAACTTGGGCTATTAGCTACTACTACCATTTGTTAGCGCAGCATGAAAAGATCCAGACTACATAAAGCAAGAGGAAACAGTGCTTACATTTTCTTATTCCTGTTTTACTTACTATCTAGTATTTTAAAGGATTGTTAAAAGTGGAAAACAGAGAGGTAAAGAGGTTCTGAATGAGGTCCATGGTCAGGAAAGGAAAAGAGTACTGGAAGCAAACTGGAGTTATAGTCACAGCAGGGAAATAAAAAGGTCTTGGTGACTGATGCCTTTTGACTATTTCTGTATTGTTTCATGCTTTATTTTCCCGAATTTTGCTTTGGAAGTGTAGGGTCTAGAACTCAGGCTAGTAACATCTGTGATGTCCTCTATTGCAGTATCTATAGAGCATCTACAGAGACGTGGGAGAGAGTTGGTGCTATTACTGCCCCTTTTCTATGATCATTGTCACTCTACTAACTTCTAAAAAACAATGGCATAAAGCTACTCTGACATGCCCCAAATTTCCTAGTGGGACCTCACACCCAAGAAGTAGAACAGGCATTCATTTCTAGGACAAGGCCTGGGTAGAGTTTACTGTTAGTCATATTACTTCTCTTACTCTCTGAATACTGCCCTAGTCAACTTCATCATCATTCTTGCCTCTGGGACTTGGTTTATTTGAGGGTTGAAATCTTCTGAAGTAGTGAAAACAACACCTATCTAGGACCGTTTTACCCCCACATGAACCAGATGTATGATCAAGGGACAGAACTGGGGATTCTAAAGAAGTTTCAAAGTGGATGTGTTTGGAAGAGCCATGAACAGGCCCAAACTATATACCCTTAAAGCAAGAGGTGTCATCATAGCAGCCAGAGGCCTCCAGAAACTAAAGTGCCTCCTCCACAAGGCAAGCCGAGGTCCCTGTTTCTTCTTGTAGAATCTCAAAAGTATAGGAGCGTTAGAGATTCCTTTGGGTACAAAGACCAACAGAGAAAACCCACCACAGCAGTATCTTCATTGCACATGAGTTCTCTGATATGGACTAGGACTTGTAGCAAATCATATGTAACTCCATTCATTGACTGATAAATGATTTAATGCTTTTGACGAAGGCTTTAGGAAAGACTAGAACTTCAGGAAAGGATCACATGAGATAGTTAAATATGAAATGCTAGGAATTAAAGTGTATATCATTTTCATGTATTTATGGTTATTCCATGTTCAGATGTAAAAAATAAAAATAGATTTTTAACTTAAATTTTAATTCACCAGACTTCCCCTTTCTTTTCTTCTCTTCTCTCCTCTTTTTCTCTTAATAAAGAGTAAAAACTAAAATGGAATTAATCTGTAGAGAAAAGGGGAAATATGAAAAGAATGATTACACTCTACTATTTCTGCTTTCATATGAATCCCAGCTGAGCTACTTACTAAGGAAATGAGAATGGAGGATGAGAACCTGGTGCCTTTGCTTCCGTCTATACAGAAATATCTGATATGTATTTCAGTATGATATGGTGAGAATCATTTGGCACCATCATTGTTTTTAAAGGTCCATTAAGCATTAATGAAACAAAAGAGACTCATTTGCAGTGGCATTTATACCAGAAAGCTTAGGGTGATGGTATGTAATGAATCACTGGTGGCCTTATCAGTAAATACATATTTTTGGCAGGATAGCAGAACGAGGGAATGAACAAGAATTTACTTTTGTGATCGTCCGGTAGGATGGGAGAGAAAGAAGATTGTGGCAGTTCTGGGGAAATACTTCAAACTTCAAAGACCACAGCCCTAAGATCTGATTACTGTTCTCACAGGAGCATTTTCTGTCTTGTTGACTGTTTGGGCAAATGTTTATAGCCAAGTTTGTTACTACATGTCTGAATTCTGCTGAAGAGATTTTTTTCCTTTCTGGGAACAGAAGTGGTTTGGATACATTGCTCTCTTTATCCTGCAAGCTTCTTTCAGTGAGTCATTTTGGTGAAATCTCTCAGGTTTATTACTCATAGTTTCTTAACTTTTATAATGTTTTTAAAAAGTTATTGGTTATAGGAGATTTAAGGCAAAAGTGCTAGGAACCTAATTTATTATAAAAGATATTTAATTTTTACGAATGGCCAATAATGTTAAATATTTTTGTGATATTAACATTGGTGTACGTCAGCAACGTCACTAACTTTGATCATTTTTCATTTGCATCTTCGTTTATTGCAAACACTTCTCTCTCTTTCTCCCTCTTTATCT